CCGTCATCCTCAAGGCGGTGCTGCCGGCCGAGCGGGAGGGCGAGCCCGAGACAGTGGCGGGCATGGCCATCTGGGTGCAGGCCTCGTTCATGGCGGGCCACGGGGTCGCGCCGGTCGAGGACCTGGGCGCGGCCGTCGACCTCGAGGCGCTGTACCCGGGTGACGCGGCCGAGCAGCGGTACCTGTGCCAGCTGGAAGCGGCGCTGCACCGCCGCCGCGTCGAGCTCCTGCGCGAGAAGGCCGCCGCCGCCGCCGCCGACCCCGCAGGGCTGGGCCCGCCCGCCACGGCCGCCTTCGTGCTGGACCTGTGCGCCGTCGACCCGGCCTACCAGCGCAGGGGCATCGCGCGCGCCCTGGTGCAGTGGGGGCTGGACGAGGCGGAGCGGAGGGGGGGTATCGAGTGCATCACCGAGGCGTCCAGCATGGGAAGACAGGTTTATCTGCAGATGGGCTTCAAGCAGGAGGGTGGCGAGATGGTGTATGCCGTCGACGAGTTCAAGGATCGCACCTTGCCGTCTAATATATTCTTGCGGACGGGTCCTCCTGGACAGTAGCTTCATTTTGTGTTGGATAATCGCTGTGTGTGGTAGGAGCTGATAGTCATCCAGGCTGACTCCAGGTCCTACATCTTAGCCATACAATTATACCCAATACAAGGCAAGAGAACTTGATATGCAAGATGCCCGCACGATTGCCAAATAAATGATGATATTATTTCAGATCATTTCTGATGTGAACTTATTTCCACGTTGCTTTTACATCTCAAGTGGTAGCTTCTTTCAGCGTTTTCCGCCATTTCCTATTTGCCTCATTTTCTTTGCTGCAGTCAAGGGGATATTGAATATTATATAAGACTGTTTTGTTTGCAAGATGAACATCGCAAGTCGTACGATAAAAGGAGCAAACCCGGAAATTGACAAGATCCCACGTTATGAGATGGCACCTCGTTGCACAACCAATAGTCTCTAACAGCTTTTCCTAATCATAATTAAAAGGACTACGCTTTCCCAACATGATCATTACAATAATGCAGTAACAAACGCAAAAGGACTGATGATCCCGCCGCATGCGAGACATCCAACTCGGGGCCGTCATCAAAAGAGCAAAACGAAAGCAGACGACGAGGCCCCACGCGACATCATCAAACAAAGCAACAAACCCGTAAAATCTCTAGATCGGGCCCGCAACGTATCCCGTGATCTACAGCAAACCCCCACCCGCCACGGAGCTCACCCCCCTCCCTCAGAGCTCAGCCTTGTCCGTGCCGACGGACAGGCCCGACTTGACGGCCTGCAGCTCCATGTGCGTCAGGTGGGCGTGCTGCACGGGCGTGGGCACGCCGGCCAGGACGCGGCGCGCAAAGTCTTCGACCTCGGTGCCCGGGTTGCACCCGGCGTGCCTGACGCCGCCGCCCATCGGGGACATGGAGCTGCCCGACGACGAGCTGAGCGGGCGGATCATCTGGGCCGCGCTCGCCACCTTGGCCACGAGTGCGTCCAGGCTGACGGTCAGCTGGGGCGCCGCCGGGATGGGCCAGAGGCCGCAGGCGTCGAGGGCCTTGACCATGGAGCCCAGCAGCGCGTTCTCGCAGTCGAGCCGGCACTCCTGCTTGGTACTGGCCGTGGGCTCGCGGCAGTGCCGCCCGTTGGCCGTCGCGAGCTTGCGATGCACCGCCGTGATCTTTTGCAGGATCTGGTCCGCCGCCTCGAGCCGGGTGGCGGCGATGGGTTCTGGGATCCTCTTGTTAGCGGTCGAGTGAAGAGGTACCAGCAGCTGCAGCCATTTTATGGATCTGACATAGCAAGAGAAAGATGGGCTGGGAGATAGTCGAATCAAGGAGACGGGTGGGAACTGAACCTACCTAATATATCCGGTAACCTCAGATAGTCAAAGGTCTCGAGCGGCATCAAGTTCCCGTTGGTGCACCGGATGAGCAGCTGCCCGTACTTGTTGACCGGGCAGCCCAGCGCGAGCCGCCGGGCCTCCGACTCGAACATGGTATCGTCCCCGAGCACCCACGCGATCCACAGGCGGTAGGGGTGGCGGCGCCCCCGCTGGGACGAGCACCAGCCTTCCGCCCAGGGGCGCAGCAGGTGCGTCATGTCGTACTTGTCCGCGAGGATCGCGACGTGGAACAGCTCCACCAGCTCGATGGTCTCGGGGACGTGCTCGGCGAAGCTGCTGTGGATGATGCCCATGAGGATGCGGAACGCCCGCGGGTCGTCCTCGGGCAGCTCGGCCGTCCACTCGTCCTGCTCTTTTGGCAACGCCAGGGACGTCGGCGAGGTGGTAGACGATGGTGGGGTTATCGGGAATTCTGTTGATGATGCATCCGGTACTGATGCGGATGGCAGGGATAGCGACGAGGACGAGAGTGCCAAGCAGCTACCGGATGACGAGCTCAAACTACCTAATGCGGCGCTGTCCGAGCCGCTAGTTGCGCTTGCCTGGGAGCTGGTCCTCTGGGCCCCTCCCGGCCTTGAAGACTCGCTGAAAGCGCCGAAAAGCATTGTCCTGAACACTGGCGAAGCCCGCGCCAGCGTCCGCGAGCAGACGACAAATCGCATCGGGTTCACCTTGGCCGTGCCCACGGCGAGGTGTAGGTCTCCATCCTGGTCGAAGATGATAGGGGATGCCGCTTGCCCTTCCTCCTCGGTGACGTCGCCCATCAAGAGCGGGGTGGACTTTGACCGGCTGCCCTTAGTCGGCCGTCCCGACCTAAGTGTCTTCACCGAGCTGGTCGACCTTGTCCGAGTTGTGGGCGACGCCATATTTCCAACAGACCCCATCTGGTGGTTGTTAGGGGGGTAAGGGCTCCTGGCGGGCGAGCGTTTGCTCTTGGGTTTGTTTGCTGCAAGACCTATACGGATCATGGGAGGACGGGGTGGAAGGATGTTTGTGGCAGCGCCCAGGCAGCCGCCCGTATTCCTTATGAGCGGACGATGTCGGCCACCCCGGTTGACCTTCACCTTGCCTCCACCTCAGCTAACCGCAGGCAAAGGATTGTTGCAAGAGCGGCACTTATTTCCCGCCAGTCCACGAGCTTGCTGCCCTGTTTCTGGGTGGAGGCAGGCGGCAGCAAGGGCCCACAGTATATGGTAAAATGTCCGTTATAGGGCTCCCGGGTTTATCCCTCGGGCGGGTCCACACCCGCATCTTGATTTTGGGAGCATCCTTCCAAGAAGCACTGCAGCATTGCATGATTTCTGGGTCCACAGCTCCCAAAAAGAGACCGAGTCGTGGGCGTTGTGTTACATGACCGAGAGGGACGGGGGAGAGAGGGCGGGAAGAAAGCAGACAGGACTATTGGTGTCGGTGCCCTGCCTCAGCTTCAAGGGGTTGGGCGCACGGGGTTTTGTTGGCGTTGGCTGAGATCGCAGTGGTCGGGGCGCAAGGGACAGCGGCAGTTACGTCAGCGACAGGGCTCACCCTCCGCGCCATGGGGGGAAAATCAGGGTCCTCCTGCAGGGTCCTCCCCAAATGCGAACAAATCTCCGTCCTAGCGTCGGGTCGCCGTCCAGCACCGGTTGTCACAGCTCGCCCGCTTTAGGTTGCCCGCGAGGGAATAGCATCCCAGGCAACGGGCGACGCGAGTGGTTTCCGGCTCAAACTTTTCCACGTGTCGCCTGAATGGCCTGACAATGGAATCGGCAATCCTCGGGTTCATCATCCCAGCCTGCCTCAAGTCGTGTCGACTCGCCCCGGCCGACGGCTCGTGTCTTGCTGGGAACAAATTGCTAGGAATATCGCGGGGGAGGAACAGAGATAAACATCAGAGTGAAGCCGCCTTACCTATCGGAATCCGTCGCAGGACCAAACGAGCGATTCGCATCAAAGTCAAGACGAGACGAACCGAGCTCAAAGCCTGCTCCTCGCACTTCAATACCATCCATGGTATCCATGGCTCAGATGTGGAAACAGTGCTGACCAGGTATTCAATCGCCCGGTGTAATGAACACCCCACGATGCCAGCCTGGAAACAGCGCGTTCAATAGAGACAGGAGGTTTTGGCCGAAAAGCCCTGGTGGCCCAGAGGTGCCAGTCGGACGCCTTCGAAAAGTTCCAACCATGGAGGCCGAGAATGGTTGCAGGCCGAAACATGGGCAAAGTTCGAGGGAATAGGAGGCAGACAAACGTCATCGCACATGCCCTGTCGAGCAGAATTATCTGCTCCGGCGACAGTGTCTGCCCCGTAGAGATGGCGACGGAGGAAACGAAGGCAGTTTAAATTGACCATTCCTCCTCAAACCGGTCCCGAATGCTTGCTGAATCGAGACATTTAGTAATCTGGTCTGGGCCCGGCTTCTCAAGGCCAGAGCCGACTGAATCAGCAAGAACGAAATGATGGAAGCAGGGCTAACCGAAAGAGACATGAAGAGAATGCTTCTCCGGGATGGAGATGGCAGGGAGTTTGCTGTGCGTAGTTGCGGAACCGTTCTGGGGAAGACGCCAAGGCAACTGCGGATGGGTACTTTGGGGCTGTGCGCTGTGTACACACATTCTTCCCCCGGCGGATGTACCGAGGCGACCCTGAAGGTATTTCCGTGACCGATAGCCCCCGGGATTGCTCGAGCAACCCAAAGGGAAAGCTGGATTGTCATCTGGGCGCCATGTGTGACCCCGAGGGTAGGACACCCGTGGAAAAGATCTGGTGGGTGGGATCCCCGCGTGATACGATCAAGATGGATTTTCGGCTAAGCTTGAGAATCAATAGATACCTAGGCACCCAAGGCACGTTAATACCTGTGCCTGTTCCGCAAAGTTGCATGTTGTGCGCGTTCGAGATTTAAACAGCAAACTTGGTCACGGTGGCGAACTCCGTGCCAAGATATGGCACACCGGGCTCTATTGGGTAGAAGTCAAGACAGCGTGCTGCCCCTTTCCTCCGCCCATCGTTCTGGGATCTTGCCATGGCTCGATGCTCTCGCGATGACCGGCCTCAGATAAGGAGACTGAGATCGAGCCCGCAAGGAACGGGAGCTCATCAAACATCTCCCACATGATAGCGCCATTTCGAGCCCACTGTCCGATGGTGATGGGGACGTGAATATGCCCTTGACAGATCAATGTCACAGTAGTCCAACGGCAGATTCCATAGTGCCCCGCCGGGGTTGGTGGTGACTGGCCTGAAAAACGGGGGCAAACAGAATAGCTTGAAGACAAAAACATATCAACCTGCCTATTAGCGGCGGGGAGGAGGACACGATACGCTTACCAACAACGAGGATCATGAGAGGGAGATTGGTGGATAGGCGCGTGCGTCATCGGGTTCTAGCGAGAGAAGGCATTGAAGAAGTTCCCGTGGTTGGAGACAGCCAGCTGTCACATTGCTGCTGGGTCAGAATAAGGCAAAGAGCACATGATGCCTGTCGCGCCGCGCCACTGTGGGAGACCTTGGAAAACATGACCTTGGCTGGCCATCAGGGTCGAAAAAAAGTGCTTGATCGAATGCAAAAGTCAGGTCAGTTGGCGGGCAATAAACTCCGCTGCCAAACTTGGACTTTGGTTTCCGCGATCGTTTTGGGGACAGGAAGGGACATGCGTGCCACTGACGAGAGCATCAGAGATCCAGAAAGGGAAACCGCACTCCACGATGCCTGGCGGCTCCAACGATGGAGAGATAGCGCTTATCAACACGTGGGTTCGCCAGTCGCGCGCAACGCGCACGGTCCACATCAAAATTGTCGACAACTGGATTGACAGCAGAGGCGCGGTCTTGGAAACTCCGTCAAGCCAGCCAACGTCGCAGCAAAAAGTTGGCATAACCACCAAAATGTTGTGTGCAAGTAAGTATAATCTGCCTCTCTGGGCCGCTCAGGCCTGTGAAGGACAGCTGACTGACAATTGCTTTAAAGTCTCTGGCGAAGCTCCTCAGGAGCCCGTCGTGTCCAAGAAGTCGGGTAAGTCGCGACAACCCGAACGGCAGGCAGCAAGCATCCCACCCGCGCCCAACGAAGACGGGGCCGACGACCGATCTCCTCCCCTACTGGCTGCTTGCGGAACTTCATAGACTAGAGTTCTAACGCGATTCGGGCACCGAACAGGCCATGTATACGAGAAGCGCCTGATCGAGAAATACATCGACGAGCACGGCAAGGAGCCCGGGACGGACGAGGACCTGGACATGGAGGATCTGCTCGATGTGCGATCCTCGCGCGTCGTGCGCCCGCGGCCCGCGACCCTAACCTCGATACCAGCACTGCTGGCCACCTTCCAGTCCGAGTGGGATTCCCTGGCGCTCGAGACATACAACCTCCAGCAGCAGCTCTCGCGCACGCGCGAGGAGCTCGCCCACGCCCTGTATCAGCACGACGCCGCCGTCCGGGTCATCGCCCGCCTCACGCAGGAGCGCAACCAGGCGCGCGATGCCCTGGCCAGGGTGACCATCTCGGCGCCCGCGCCCGCTGCCGCCAACGGGGCCGCAGACTCGGCAATGGCCATCGACGCCGAGATGCCGCAGGAGGTTTTGGGTCACGTTGACGAGACAGCACAACTGTGAGTTATTGTGACCGTCCAGCCAGCAGCAGCCTTGGGCGCTTGGCGACTAACCGTCCCCACCAACAACAGACTCTCAAAGTCACGGAAAAAGCGCCCAGTGCCCCCGACCTGGGCCTCGCCCGATGATATTGTCGCGCTGGACAAGGTGGCCTCGGACCCACTCCAGGTGTCCCAGGCCACATCGGTCGGTGTCGGTGGTGGCTACGCGGCTGTCGGCGCCCTCTCGGGCGACTTGGCCGTCTACTCGCTCGAAGGCAGGAAGGTGGAACGGACGATACCGGTCGGCGAGCCCGTTACGGACGTTATCTGGACCGGCTCCAAGGTTGTCTTGGGCACCGCCAAGGGCACCGTTAAGATTATCGACAGCGGAAGCGAGGTCGCTTCTTTCGCCGACCACGCAGGCGGCGTCACGGCCGTGGCCCTGCATCCCGGAGGTGACATCGTGGCCTCGGTCGGCGCCGACAGGGGGATTGTTTTGTACCAGCTCAGCACGCTCAAGAAGATCTTCCAGGCATCCACTGATTCTGGTAAGTCGCTGTCACTTGTCAACTCATCCCGCTTCCATCTGCTAACCTCACCTTTGCTCCCCTACAGCTCTCACAACCTCCGCCTTCCACCCCGACGGTGCCCTCCTCGCCGCCGGTACCGCCTCGGGAGATATCAAGCTCTTCCACACCAAGACCCTCGAGGAGGCCGCGTCCTTCTCCCTCGGCGCGCCCATCGAGGCCATCACCTTCTCCGAGAACGGCTACTGGTTCGCCGCCGTGGCCAAGTCGCAGACCACCGTCACCGTCTTCGACCTGCGCAAGTCGGGCGACGCCGCCCGGGCCAAGACGCTCGAGATCGGCGGCACCGTCTCGGCCCTGGCCTGGGACTACACGGGCCGCTTCCTGGCCTCGGCCGGCCCCTCGGGCGTCTCGGTTCAGGGCTACAACAAGAGCTCCAAGGCGTGGACGGAGCTGTTGCGCAAGGGCGAGGCGGGCGCCGTCGCCCTAGGCTGGGGCCCCGACGCCAAGACCCTTGTGACTGTCAAGGGCGATGGTGTTGTAGAGCTGTTTGGCCTGCCCGCCGCTGAGGCTGCGGAGGAGGCGTAAGGGGGTAATGCATAAAGTTAGACATGCAGGAGGATTGAGAGTGCAGTTTCAACGCTTGCGTCCGATTATTTCCCTGGTTCATAAGCCTGGGTGAATGGAGCAGAAAGTTATGAGAATGCGGGAACTCGGAGTCAAGGGGGAAAGTCACGGGCGAGACGCCAAACTCGAAAGACCAGAAGGGAATCATCCGTTTCCGGCTCCCCAGAATATAGGGGGAGAAAGACTTTCGACTATATGTATAATACGGCAAGCTGCTTATCTGAGTTGGAAAACAAATGATACCTGCACAATACTAAGGCTACGGTCTCTGGAAAGACAGGTGCTTGGATCGATTCTTTTTTCTGCCTGGTGCTCTTAGCGAATCCCCCGACCCCGCCGTGGTTCTCTTCATGTTTTTGTTTTTCGTCCCTCGTTAATCAGTCGTGAGCAGCTCTTTGTTTCTACTCGACCGAGACTCGCCTCGAGGTGTTGGCCGTTCATCCAAAAGGCTGGCAAGCCCCCCAGGTCAACATGTGATGATGTCCAACAAATTAGGAAACGTAAGGAGATGTCTGCTTAGGGGACCTTACAGTGCGTCTCTTTCGAGAGTACCTATCTGGGCGCACAATACAAAATCATCACTAAAGCCGTCGATGCCTTACCATGCTCTCCATGCTATATATCAAGAAGAACCAGGGCCCGGCCGGAGGGGAATGTGAGATGCAGCAACGCAACATATAGGGAGGGAAACTGATGCTTTTCTTTTCTCATTTTGGTAGTACAGTTGGGCTGGCGCCAGGGCACCCGCAAGCAAACCACCCCCTCCCACATCGAGAGTCCCAAGGTGCGGTTGGCTCTCTTCCATCCGTCACATCCTTGGCCTCTGCCGGTTCAGCAAGACAGCCCCATAAATGCTCCCCTTGGATGGTTATCCGTGATCCCTCCTCACTGTCCAGCCGTGCGAATAGACAGACATAGCAGCGGTTCCCAGAAAAAAAAGAACAGAGTTAACTTCTAGCCATTATCGTAAAACTTTCATCAGTTTGAAGCAGCGACCGCCTCCGATGCCGCCATGTCGGAATCCGCCGCCCCGTCGGTGCCACTGTCGGCCCCCGGCAGCACGTCCTCGACGGGCGCGTCGTCGTCGGTGAACTTCCTCTCGCTCAGGTGCGCGGCGCCGTCGGCCGTCCACACCTTGTCCTGGAAGGTACCGCGCTGGCCCTCATCGTGCTTGAAGGGGCAGAAGCGGTTCGTGCAGGGGCGGAACTTGCACTGGGTCTTGACGTGGGTGAACTTGCACCCCGTCACGGAGCAGTCGCCGCCGTTCCGGCACGGCGGCATGCTCGGGTGCCGGAACGTGCAGTGAGGGTTCGTGCAGTTGGGGTAGAAGCGGCAGTCCTGCTGGCTCTGGTGCGCCGAGCGTGTCGCCGGCGACGGGTGTGCCCCGACGCACTTGTGGTTTTTGCACGCACCCCCGTAGCTGCACCAGTCCGTCACGTCCACCGTCGTTCCCGGCGATGCTGCAGGCGACTGGTGTGCGAACTTGCACTCCCTGTTGGTGCAGCTGAGGTTGAACTTGCACACCGTCTCCTTGGGGTTCGACGCTTCCCGCTTGGCCTGTCCACCCATCTCGGCATCCTCGCCTGCCTCGGCGCCCTCGGCGCCGCCGTTCGGCGCGCCATCGGCCGGCTGCTGCTCGTTGCCGTTCTGGTTGTGATGCGGACCTTTGCGAAAGTTGCCGTTGTTTCTGTTCTGATGTTGCACGCGCTCTGAGAGCGGCCGGCCGGCGTTCTGATGGAAGCCATTAGGACCGCCCTGCTGCTGGTGCTGTTGCATCATCATCTGCTGGTTCAGCTGCTGCTGAAGGTGCTGCATCATCTGGTTCTGCTGCTCCAGCATGTGGAAGAGCCCCATCTGGGGGTCCTGGTTGGGCCCCGGCATCCAGGCGCCGCCGTTGTTCATGCCCGGCGGCATCCCCCCGTTCATACCCGGGGGTCCTCCGGGTGGCATCACGCCACCCATTGCTGTAGCCATCCCGTGGGCGATGCTCGCACCCCTGATGTTCATGGGGCCGCCGCGCGCTTGACGGCCAAGGCCGCCCCGCGGGCCGTTTGGTGGTTGGCGCGCGTGGCTATTGATCCTGTCATTACCGCGTGTCCGATGAAGCACGCTGTCTTGTGTCCTGTCCAGCGCGCGGTTGATCTGGCCCATCATTCGCCTGTCGCGGGGATTGCCCCTGCTGCTGCTGCTGCTGGCGCTCCCATTCCTCATCGCCTTTGGGCCGGTAGGTCTGTGTGGAGGCACAAATGCGCGGGTTAGTGCATGAACCAAGAACGAGTCTTTAATCAAAGGGCGGACGTACGCGTTTATTTCTCCAGCCGCGTTGGCAACCATGCCCATCTCTGTGTCCTGATCGCCACCTTGTGATGTTGTGGCGGCGGCATCGCCCTCGGCGCTCTGCGCGCTTTGGGCCTTGAGCAGGTCGACTTGCTGAAACAGCCACTTCGCGAAATCGAGCGCGCCCGGGTCATCGGGTCCGAGGGATAGGAGATCGCCGGCGAGCTCGCTGGCGATTTCGGCCTGCGACTTGCCGTTGACCAGCATCAGGACGATGTACTCGGCGAGGGCGGCATCGTCGGCGCCACCGGTGCCCCAGCCAACTTCGAGAAGCTTGGGCGTGATTGCGCTCGTGAGCGCATCGGCCAGCGGCGTGTTAAGCGCGACCTCGGCCATGGTGGGATCTTTCGAGGGGATGCGACCGTCTTGGTTCCGTGTTTGCAGGACGACGATGGCGGTCGGCGCAGTTGTGGATGAGAGAGGAACGAGTGTGACTTGTCGTCAGGTGGCCAGGAGTTAGGCCTTTTCGTGTCGTTGCGGATGCGGATGTTGCTGGAATGAAGGTGATGGCCGCACGCGGCAAGGGTAGCAAAGCGCGAGCTAGAGGTGGAATGGAATGGAACAAGCAAAAAAAGCGTCCAGAAACGGGCAAGCCAAGCGAAAGCGGTGGCTCAATTGTGATTACCAACGACGACAAAGACAGCCGTTCGTTGACATGCGCACGCGTCCTGGATGTCTCCGGAAATGGACTCGCCCTTTTGTTGGAGGCTTAGGTTTGGCAGATGCAGGTGCAGTCTGGTTGGTTGTGCAGCGGCTGCATCACAAGTTGTCTGGTGTCTCTGTTCAGCGAGTGGCTCAGACAGAGGTCGCAAAAGTTGTCCTCGGGCCTGCAGACTGTGGCTGGGCACGCACGTTGTGGCTCGAGGGGGGCGAGAGTTTGTGATTTCGTTGCGCGACTACTCGTCTGACCAATCATGAGCCGCATAAAGCTTTGCCAAAAAGTTCGCAGCCCCACCAGTACCTGCATTTCCCAGCCACTGCCAACCCAACCCCGTCAGGTTGACTTCCGGGCTATTTTTGAGCCTCTCTCTCTCCTCGTGCTTACATAAACCACCATCACCTTTCCGGGCTCCCACCCCTTTCCATCTCACTCAGCCGCCAGCGCCTCCCTCCTGCTGCGGCTCGTTAGGTCTAGGTACGGCACCTCTCCCAAGGAGGCCACCCTGTCGCCGGCGCGGGCCTCCTCATAGTCGTAGGTGGCGCAGTGCCAGGTGCTCCGGTTGTCCCAGATGGCGAGGTCGTTCTTGCGCCAGCGGAAGCGGACCTGGGCGTCGTGGTTCTGCGTCACCAGACCAAAGAGGTATGGGAGGAGCAGGTCTGACTCGTCGCGCGTGATGCCGTTGATGCGCTTGGTGAAGCCTCTATTGACATATACCGATTTCCACCCCGTCACGGCTGTTTTTGCATTGGTTGTGGTAAGCACTCGATGTCACGTGGTTTTGCCATCTTGCCAACAATAAAGCCTTACGGTTCGTCCTGACGACGGGGTGTACGGCTTTCAGTTCCCTCCCGTGGTTGAGCGGGCTGCCCCTGATGCCCTCACGCAGCGGGTTTCCTAGCCTCTCGGCCTCGTCGAGGAAAAATGTCGCATCGTGCGTGGCTGTAAGGCCCTCGAGCATCTTGCGCATCGCCAGGCTGAGGCGGTCGTAGATCTCGTAGCCCGAGGCCCACAGGGTGTCGCCGCCGGTGGCCGGCAGAGTGTGGATCTTGAGCATGGCGTAGTCGGAAGGCACAGGCTCGAAGGAGATGTCGGTGTGCCAGCCCGCCGATGCAAGGCGCGTCACGTCCGATAGCTGGTGCGTGAGGCCGCCTCCTTTTTTCTGCTTCTCGGACGAGATGACGGAGATCTGGTCGCCAAGCTCCGACCCCTCCTCGGTTAGGGGATGGACGTGTAGGCCAGAGGATTCGGGCTAGCGAGTTGTCAGTTCAGTCACGAGGGATTCGCGGCACGGGTGAATAACGCACGCAGCCAGCCAGGGCTGTTAGTTTCAGCATAAATTCTTTCATCTGCGTCGGCGTAACATCTTGGTTCCGCAGGAACACAACGCCACGTTGTGAGACTGGGGAATAGGAGTTAGCTAAAATGCTTCAACTGGCGTTTAAGCCTAACACAAGAAAATAACCCATAGAATGGGGATCTTTGGGGTTGGCTGACTTGTTACGGCAAGATCTCGGATCACCTGGTCATCTCCCTTCAGCAAATCAACCACCTGAAGTCCCTCGTACTCTCTTCCGATGACGGGCGTCAAGTCAGATTGCTTGTAGCCGTCTAGGGAGCCAGAGTAAAGAAGAGGCTTCACGTTTCTTGACCTGGCCTCGGCGTTGCCTTCGAAGATGTTTCCATCTACCGGAGCCTCGCTAGGGGACAGATTCGCAGACGGCATGGCGGGCGCGCTGAATTTACTAAAAGGCTCGGTAAGGGGCTTGTTGGAGAGGGAGTCTTAACGCTAACAGTGCTCAGTTGCTGCTCTACTTCCTTCCAAATGAAAGGGACACTGAAGATACTGTGTGAAGCTACCAAGAGGTCAGGAAGAGCGCCTCCAAGTCATGGATTCCAGAAGGATAAGAACAAGCGTCGGAAATGTCAGGAGTACCGCCCCTGTCACTCGTATCTGCAGAAAGACCATGGCTCGAGTTTTCCGCCCGGGAACCTCGTCGTCATACGAGCTTACAGGTCGGGCATCCGGACATCGGACCTCTATACTGTGACGAATCAACCAAGGCATGGATGCGGGCATCTGGCGGTCACCCCGCACTACCACCTCGGCTGATACGCCGAAGCCAAGCGAAGCAGCACCAGGCCGGTGGTCAGGTTGCACTAGGCACCTCAACAAGCCGAGGCTTTAAATGGCCGGCGGTCCACTATCTTCGCTTGACTCGGCCGGTAATCCAGGTTAGCCCAGGCAACGTCAATCGCGTCAGCACCCACCACGATGAGACAATCGGGGCAGCCACCCCCGAATGGCACTCCTGCCCGCACTCTTCCACGCATCCACACTCCCTGGCCCGCATCTGAGCCCACCTACCGTGCATGACAGCATCCTGGGAGACTGCCCATGTGCTTCGTTGGTTTGTTGTCCCTTACCCAGGAGCCCGGCTGAGTCTCCCTGCGTGTCGACGAGGTACGCTGCCGGCGTGGTGGTGTCGAGTAGGACCAGACATATCCTCCGGGCACATAATAGAGTGCTTCACTGCCCGTAAGATTCCAGATAGCCACAGGGGTATATTCAACTTTGGGATGAGTCCCGAGAAAGGCGATCCAGTTACCGTTTTCGGCATCCAGCGCAACATCCCTAGTTGATGTCGCCTTGGGCAAATTTTAGCTACAGGCAAGAGCTCCGCGGAGCCACAGTCGACTTGCCGTGATATAACTAGGTAGCTGTGAGGCCAAAATTTGTTGTGTTCATTGCCATCTGCCCCTGGCGCAAGCAACCGCGCTGCCACTCCCCAGCAATGGATAACAGGCCGCTCGTCTCGTCCACATCTGAGCCATGTCGACGGAAGAGCCGGGCAGGAAGCTCGCCCTGGAGCACGGCGGGCACGACGGCTCGTCACTCTCGCACGTCGACAACGTCCTCGTTGGCCGCGAGAACCTGGGCGAGGTGCTCCCGCCGCACGAGACGTACGAGGGCCGCCACCGCTTCGATCCCGCGGCGACGTGGACTCGGCAGGAGGAGCGCCGGGTGGTGCGCAAGACGGACGCGTACCTGCTCTCGTGGCTCTGCGTCATGTTCTTCGGTCTGCAGCTCGATCGCGGCAACCTGTCCAACGCGCTGGCCGACAAGATCTTGCCCGACCTGGGCCTGACGACCGACGACTACAACAACGGCACTACCATCCAGATCGTCTGCTTCCTCGCCGCCGAGTTCCCCGTCCAGGTGCTCGCCAAGCGCTACGGCTTCAAGTATATCCTGCCAAGCTTGATGATGGCTTGGGGGACTGTTTGTAAGTTCCCTGATGCACAGGATTTGGGGTTTTTCTTTTCCTTTTTTTTTTGCAGAAGCTAGCTCTGACGCGGATTCTCGCCAGAAATAGCCTGGGGCCAGGCATGGATTCACGACAGAACGTCTTTTTACGTCACTAGGGCATTCATAGGTCTTTGTGAGGGCGGCTTCATTCCTGGTAGGCGCTCCTCCTAGAAAGTTGAACTTTCAAACTTTCGACCTCTAACTTCTATGGCCAGCCACTATCTTATACGCAACATATTTCTACACCTCTAAGGAACTGGCGGTGAGGCTGGCGACCTTTTGGTCCACGCTAAACGTTGCGCGTTTTGTATCGGCGCTCCTCGCTGCAGGCATTCTTCAAATGCGTGGGGTAGGAGGTTGGCCTGGCTGGTTTTGGCTTTTCCTCCTCGAGGGATTGCTCACTTGCATCATTGCCCTCATTGTGAGTGACCTGCTCTCGTGGGAGCTTGACACGGACTGCGTTTCTGGCCTTTCAACTGACGCTCGAAAATACCTCAGTCCTTCTTCTACCTCCCGACATCTCCAACTGGAACCAAGGGCGGTCTCTGGCGAAAGTCCTGGTACACTGAGCGAGAGGAGGTCATCATGGTAAACGTGAGTTGATGAGAGCAGATCAGCATAAGATCCCGGATCCAAGGAGATTGATTAAATCCTAACATCACACTCTGTCACAGCGAATCCTCCGGGACGATCCGGCCAAGGGCCTAACGTCTCTCAAGGAGCCCGTCACGGTCAAAGACGTCCTGGACGCCTGGCGGGACCCTTCGGTCTGGGGGCTGTACCTAATCGGCCTGATCGCCTACATCCCCGCCAGCCCGGTGCAGGCCTACCTGACGTACTCACTGAATCAGCTGGGCTACACCCCCTTCGCCTCCAACATGCTCACCATCCCGTCGGCGGTGCTGCAGATCTTCACGATGCTGGCGCTCGCCTTCAGCAGCGACTACTTCAACGAGAGGACCCTGCACTGCATCATCGGCGAGGGCTGGCTGCTGCCCCTGCTGGCCGGCATGCTCGCCATCCCCGACGGCGGCCGGCCCTGGGAGCGCTTCTCGCTCGTGACCCTCGTGGCGGGCTATCCGTACTTCCACCCAATCGTGTCGGCGTGGATCTCGGAGAACACGTTTGACGTCAAGAAGCGCGCCGTCACGGCCGCCACGTACAACGTCGTGGTGCAGGTCGGCTCCATCATCAGCTCCCAGATCTACCGTTCGTGGGACGTGCCCTACTACAACACGGGCAACAAGGTGCTGATCTCCATCTGCGCCGCCAGCCTCGTCACCTTTGTCGCGCAGCGCCAGATACTTTGCCACCTCAATAAGAAGAAGGAGGAGAAGTGGAGCGCCATGTCGCACCAAGAGAGGCTGGCATATCAAAACGACCATACCGCGAGGGAGAAGGAGGGCAACAAGAGGCTAGATTTCCGCTTCGTATACTAGGCAGAAAGAAGCAATGGACCACTGGCCAAGCCTTGTACTTCTCCACGGCAACACTAGAAGAGATCTCAGATGCTATGCGAAAAAATGATAATTCTAATCTATCGAAATCCGTCCTACATCCCCGTAAAAGTCGCCTAATATATGATTTTTTTGTGGAATAGAGTGCCCACTGACACTAATTCAGGGGCAGAACATCGCATACCCACTTGTAGGCGAGTGCGTTATAGCGGATGCCGATGACGTGCCTTCCAAAAATCGTCTGGAATCGTGCTCCATATCATATGCTCTCTCAGCTCTAGTTGATGGGGTTCTGTGTGGGCCAATGTTAACGCGACATCTCCTGGCGAGCATCGGCCTGATAGTCGAGAGTCAGTGACCGGCATCGGTCCTCGGCATCGGAGTCATATGCGGAGGGGGGTGAGAAGGCCGAGGGACAGCTCGGCGGTACATTTCCCGCGTTGGCTTATGCGGGGTAGGGGGATAGGAGTAAGTGCCTGTGGATTAGTGTTTTCAAAGGCACACAAATAATGGACAAAGATAAAGACAGGTTACCACCAACACTACTGCACTTTGTACAATCTACGAAGAACAACTCTAGAGACAGACACCCAGGCCGTGGCTCCAGTAAATATCGGCGAGATTTCACACACAAGATGGCGTGGGAAGAGCCAAGAAAAACAGGCATGTCGTATCGCCGTCTTGGTGATACCGGTCTTCATGTTTCAGCCCTGGGTCTTGGAGGATGGTTGACGTAGGTTGTCCAACTTAGATTGGGATAAAACGATCTCGGGATTACTTGAGGCAAACACAAGGCTGACAATATCTCAGCTTCGGCGGCCACGTCGAGAATGGTAGGTCTTGGCCCGAAGCCAGTTGCGACTGAGATGGAGTCACCGTTGACAGTCTCATAGAAAAGACGTTTGCTATTATGAAGCAGGCGTATGACTGTGGCATCAACTTCTTCGACACGACTGAGAGGTTAGTACCATGGCCGCGAGAGAGGAAAGTGCACGTATCGTCAAGACTGACGAACAACAGCTACGCGGGCGGCCAGTCAGAAATTGTCATGGGCCAGGCGATCAAGAAGTTTGGCTGGAAGCGAAACGACATTGTCATCAGCACAAAGGCAAGATTCCGGATAGTCTTGCCCTGTGACAATGGACCGCGCCGCTGACTGTCGGATTCACCGCTGATAGCTTAACTGGGGCGGTGCCAACGGCGAGGTCCTGATCAACAACCACGGCCTCTCGCGCAAGCACATCATCGAGGGCCTCCGGGCGTCACTGCAGCGGCTGGACCTGGAGTACGTCGACATCGTGTACGCGCACCGCCCGGACCGGCTGACGCCCATGGAGGAGACGGTGCGGGCATTCAACCACGTTATTGAGATCAAGGGATGGGCTCTGTACTGGGGCACGTCCGAGTGGTCGGCCGACGAGATCGCCGAGGCGTGCGGCATAGCCCACCACCTAGGCCTAGTGCCGCCCGTGGTGGAGCAGCCCGAGTACAGCGTGCTGGCGCGCGACAAGGTCGAGCGGCAGTTCTAGCGCCTGTGCAGCCGCTTCGGCATTGGCTTGACCACCTTTAGCCCGCAAAAGTTCGGCCTGCTAAGCGGCAAGTACAACGATTCGCCCGACGTGCCGCCCGCCGGGTCGCGCTTCGCCGAGGGTAACAACAAGTTCGTCAACTACATGCGCGGCCAGTACGGAAACGAGTCGTGGCGCGAGAATATCGGGAAGGTGGTCAAGCTCAAGGTAGGCTGTCGTGCTCTGGAGGAATTTGTGGTCCATCGGATGCTAACATCAACAACAGCCCATCGCGGACAGACTCGGAATCACGCAGTCGCAGCTCGCGCTGGCGTGGTGTCTGAAGAACGATAACGTCTCTTCGGCCATCACGGGGGCGTCGAGGCCAGAACAGGTGGTGGAGAACTGCCAGGCGCTCAAGGCACTGGACAAGCTCACATCCGAGGTCATGAAGGAGATTGACGGTATTGTGGGTGAAATCACGCTGGACCCTGCGAGGCAAGACTAGGGGCTGGCTGGCTCGCTGGAGTAGTTTTTAGAACGAGGCTAGTCGAGAGATACATCTTGCGGAGCTGCAGCCGAGTGATACCTTGTAGCGGAGGTGCCTTGTTGGGCAAGCGTGATTTCTAGGCTGTGGCGGCCGTGGTCACGTGTGTTCGTGATTCACAACGAAATCAAGGTTGGAGGAAACTGCCCCACCTTCGCGACACACCAACACCTGACGCGGTTTGACTCCAAAGCCCCCAACACTCAGTATCCTGGGTCACCTGTTGCCACCACACTACCTGTCCTGCAATGAATTGCAGCGTATGATGCCTTCTACGGGCATCTGATGCGTCGAAACGCCAACCCCATGCAATGCGCCTCGAAACGCTGCCGCCATGCCGCCGCTCCGACAAAACATCTTTTCCATCGTGCCCAATGCACGTCCGGACCCCTTCCAGGCTGCAGCCGCCGGGCCGGCCGCGGCACCGCCGGCCAAGCCGCCCATGACGACGAAGCAGGCGCGCAAGCTTTATAACCAACAGACCCGAGCACCGCGCCGCACAAAGGCCGAGCAGCGCGCTTGGGAGAAGCAGGAGCAGGAGCGGATCCGCAAGGAGCTCGACGCCGAAAGGGCCGCCACGCGCGCCCGCGCCGCCCGCGAGCGCAAGAAATCCAAAGAGGAAGCCGTCCGAAACGAGAGGAAAAAGCAGGGCCTGCCGCTCGGCAAAGTCCGGCCCAGCCAGGACACCATATCCAGGTTTTTGTTCCGCGGCAAGCGGAGCAGAGAGACCACGGAGGAAGCCGAAGACTCGACTGGGTCGTATGTTGGCTCCGGATCTGACAAAGAGAACGGCTGTGCTGGTAGCAGCGGCAAGCGGCGTCGGTTGGATGCTACTGCTGAGGAAGACGGAGCAAGTGGGGCCGACGAAGCACCGAATATGCTGCCCAAGCCGGCAGAACCTGGGTGCCCGCCTCCCATTCCCGAGTCTGTTGGAGTGCCAGCCGAAGATGCTAAGTTCAATATGAACGGTAACGCCTGTTCTGCAGTTAAAAGTCAAGCTACCCGGAAGGAAATCGGCACCCTGGTAGATACCGCTTCGCCGAACAGTCCATCGGTGGATGACCCATGCCAAAACAAACTCACGGAAGCCACTGTGATTCTAGCACCAAAGTGCGCTTCTCCGCCACTGGCAGATGAGTTCCAGCCAACGGCCGACTCAGCCCCTGAGCCCGCTTCTAGACCCGAGCCCGTGCTAGAGCCGGAGCCGGAGCCGGAGCCCGTACCCGAGCCCAAAAACGCTCCTCTAAACCAACCAGCGCCTGAGGTCGAAACTGTAGCCAAGCCACAGTTTGAACCTCGCCTATCAGCTCCAGAGCCGTCATCCCCGGCCCAACCAGTGCCCCCAAAGTGTAATACTGCGGGTCTCGAGACCGTGCCTCTCAAGAAAGCGGACGCTGGCTTGGCAATACTGGATGCTCTCTCCGAGGATCTGCTCGACGAACTCATTCTCACACCAGAGGAAGTCAAGACTCCCCGGCCAGCAGTGCGCACCCCCGGCCCGCCTCCTAGGCCCTCCCTTCCGACCAACGCAGTCAGACCACGGTCGCTCATTAGCCCGGGTCAGGATCTTCGAGAGAAGCCAGCACCTCACACGGTGCACGTGGTGCGGCAAACTGGCCCAGTGAACAAGACGGCGCCCTCGAAACCCTCTAATAGAGGACCGCCTGGCAACAACCCGCCCTCAGTCCTGCCAAGGGAAGTCGCAAGACCTGTGCAAAGGTCAATGGCACCTCCACCAGTGCCAAAACCGAAAGGGCCCCTCAAGCCCCTAGCTACCAATATCCAGAAGAACACCAATGGGATAACTCGAGCTTCGAAGCCTTCATTGGCGAAGCCACACCCACAGAGGGTGGTCGTTCCCGAGCCCGGACTCCCACCTACCAGCACTCAGTTGTTCCTACTTAACAACTTTGATGATATAATGCCCAGCCTGTCGCAGGAAGAAAAAGAGCTTCGCCGCAACGAGAGGAGAGATCCCGATACGATAGCACCTCCTCCTCCTCCCCCTCAACGCCGCAACATCTTCGCCAAGCCACGCACTTTTCAGCCGCCCCCGAGACTTCCCGTCAAATCTCATGTGGTCCCACCACGGAAATTCGCTCCGCCGCCTTCTCGGAACCTGCAGCAAGTCAAGCGAACCCCAGCTGTGTCTCTCGCTAAGGATATGAACCTGGATTTTTTGTCTACCCAGGATCTAATGTCAACGCAAGACGTCCACGAGGTTGAGACGACCGTTCCCCATAAAAGGGGGCAGGCTACCGAACCTAGTGCCCCTAACAGCCGCCTCTTCAAACGGCCGCCACCTTTCGCACCTAACAAAAGTCGCCCTGCCGGAGAGAATGTACCCTCACAGCCATCATCGATGAGGGCGCCGGAACCAAGTTGCAGGACTGGCCCAGCTCAGAGTCGGCCGCCCCGACTCAGCCAGTTTCGGAATCACATCAAAACTACTGAGGCTCTTTTTGACTCACACGAGTCTAGCTTTGATCGCGGACGGAGTAAGGCGAGCCATCCAACTGGTCCTCGAGGAACGACTTATGCCAATAAGGACCCCTTTTCAGAGCACGACGCCAACGAACTAGTAAACCATACCACACAGGCCGCGACGCCTCGTTCGGCCCCGCGAGCGATTGGAGGCTCCACCGACTCCGACGCGCCAGACTCTCAAGGCCGCCCACGCTACTTTACATCCAGTGCCACTAGAGTGAAGATCAACCTAGCAAAGATGGAAAGTATGCGTGTCGTTGAGGCCGAGAAGCGAATGCGTCAACAGCAGCGGGCACGAGAGAAAGTAGTTGCGAGGCGGGCAGAGATGTCATCTCGAGCGCACGGCACCGGACGGGCAGATGCAGCTTCGATGCAGCTTCACGGTCGCGACCCAGATCGGGGAGGTCCAAGTAACAAAGATACCGGGAAAGGTGGCGGGGCGGCGGGGGCTATGGCAATCCCTGGACAGAGACCACTCCCCAACAGCGGCCGAGACCCAGCACGATTGATGAACGCAGCCTACGAGCATATCACACGAGGAGGTGGGCAACTGTCGTCGACCCAGGAGACCGACTACGGCGATATCGACCTCGGCGACACGTTCGCGCTGTTTGAGACTTTGAATCCATGATTGATGATTGGCACGATACACACGGCATGTTATGCCGATTGGGGGGGCATTGAATGTCCCGTACCCAGGCAGAATAGCGTGTTTCAGCGACTACTACCACTTTATTTGCTTTTATCAAGATACCCATTTCTTTCGTACACTGACGTCTTGTGCTTTTTCCATCCTTCCATCGATCTGACTGGCAAGCTCTCCTGCGAGCCATGCACCATTCATTGTCTCTGGTTTTTACGCTCTGGCCAAAGATATATTTTCTCATTATTGCTAGACGCCCATTTTCCCCGTTGTTATCCGGCAATCAGGCTTTGTCAATCTAACGCTCTTGTTAACCATCAAAGCCCCTTTGTCCGCTGGCTCATAGTTCATCCTAGAGTTTTCGATACGCCACCCTATGGGCTTGACGCCGAAATTCTTTCTTCCGGAACGTACAATGTGTTACCTTATGCCCTACCTCCTTCAAAAAGGACGCCGGCACCTTGTTTTGGCCCCTGTCTGTGGCTTCTCATCGCCATCATCCCGAGGTCTGTTAGCTGCAGCCGGGCGACTCTACGATAGCAGAAGCGCCCAAGGAAGCATAACTCACACCCTCGCGTCTGGTCAGTCCTTGCAAAACACCACCACCATGTGCAAGTACAAATACGTTTTCTTCGAGTGCGGCTGCATCGCCGGCCGCATTCGGGACGAGACGTACCCGCCGTGCGGGCTCTCCCCGAGCGACGAGAATCAGTCGGTTGATGGCCATGCCAGCGACCCTCTCTCGTCCGCCTCCGGAGAAACAGAATCACAGCCGATCTGCAAGGCGCCGCCGTCGTCCTTTGCTATCGCGCCCCCCTGCGGCGGCTGCCCAGCCTGGAGAAGAGAGGGCGAGCTGGAGGCGGCCGTGATAGCGGGCGAGGGCAAGCTGCGCGAGGCCTCGGGCGACGGCGAGCTGGCCAACCGGCACTTTGCCGCCCCGGCCGTCAGCAGCACCACCTCCGCTGCCGCCCCCATCCTACCGGCGACCGTGGATGCCGCCATCCGCGACAACGTCTTCGCCGCCAAGGAGGCGCGGCGCGATCCGGGCTCGCGGGAGAAGCCGTTCGAGACCGAGGACGCCGAGATGGTCGAGGGCAGGGCCTTCAGCCTCGCCTCCCGGGTCCGACACGAGGGCGCCGTCAAGAAGCGACTTTTCATGGCGAAGGGGTACAAGGCCGAGCGCTGGGAGGCGGAATTCGCGCGCATCGGGGCCCCCCTGATGGCCCGTATAAAGCAGCAGCTCGCCGGAGTGTACAGCGACGAGAAGCCCGCGCAGGGCGGTGCGGCCGATGCTGCTGCTTCTGCCAAGGCCAAGCGTACCAAGGGCCACAAGTTGCGGAAGCGGCCGCGAGCCGCGTGATGGAGAATCGTCATCTCGAGTCGATGCACTAATCTGCCCGCATGAACAATCAGAGCTTTTGCATTTCCCGGTACGCCCCTCGCATGCTGAAAAATGTGCCCTGCTGATGCTGATTGACTGTGTAGCCCCCCTTGATTACCTAAATGCAATTCTTCTTATCTCACAATTACACATGCTCAGGTACAGTGACAAGTCGCTCCCCTGAAATCGAGGCACCAGCCACGGGCAAATACGTACCACGGTACCTTGGGTGGATTTCTGCTATCTGCTCGCCCTGCTGTGGTGGACATGCGCTTCGTCCAGCCACCCGGCCCTCGCTCTGACATGACGACAACCGGCATTGGACGACGTGCAATGCCGTCACGGCTCGGGGGTTCAACCCAGGACGCGCTTGGCCCAACACTCAGCCAGGCCCATCGCAGCAGACGCCGGGCATACTTTTTTTCGGGTGGGCTGGGAATAGCAAAACTGTAATTGGGGTGCGCCCACCAAGATCGAGCCAAAACGAGCAAAGCCTCGACGTTTGTTCCACTCCCAACGGGCCGGCCACACACGGCTCAGTCTTCTCGCACCCCAGCCACACACTGCCCGAGGATGGCGGGCGAAACAGCGTTTGCGAGCGGCGCTCTGGACCAACAGACAAAATCGACGAGACATAGTGATCTGGTGGCTCGAGCGGATGATGAATGATGGCACGTCGGCGTTTCCAGCCCGAGTATCACTTGCCCGCCCCCTATTTAGACGTGGACAAGCAAAGCCTTACTTAACCTTTGTCCTCCGGGAAAGGACTTTTGGAAGCACAGCCCGATGGGAGAGGAGGTTGCACGCTTGGCAATATCAAACCATCGTCATTCAAAACACACACATACCAGCTGTTGTTACCCCTTTGATAAAACAAGCACAACTCGGATCACCAAGTCAGGCCAAAGGTCCATGGAGCAGGAGGCGAGCGGCAGCGGCAGGGAGCCACACACCAGCTCCCCGGCCAGGAACGCCGGGCCCCATGGGGGTTCGGCAGGTCGGCCGGCGGAAGCGCTGAGCGAAAAAGCCCGCGGGAAGCGCCCAGAGGGGAGGCGGGACGCAGCACTCGACGACGAGGAGAAAGCGTCGCCGCCGGCTTCACGACAGCCATCGTCCGCGGGACCTGCCGCCCCGGCGAGCGACGGCCAGCGGAAAGTGTCTCCTACCGCCCGGTGGTCCTCGTCGACCCTGGTGAACCTCTTGGAGATGGCGGAGCCGTCGAGCGCGCCCCGGCGGCGCGCCTCGCCGTCGGCAATGCCCTCCTCCATCCTCCGCAGGCGGGGCGACCCGACGCAGGCAGCAGCTCCCCGGCCAGGGGTGGTGGCGGGCCCGGGCAACCTCGCGAGGCCGAGGCCAGGCCTGCACCAGATCGACCAGGAACAATGGCCGGGGCTACCGGTGCTGGCGGAGACGAGCGGCAACGCCTACATTGGGCACTACGGGCAAGCGTCCGACAGCGATGAGGATGACTACTCGGACGATGAGGACGACGACGAAAATAACGACGGCTCGGCGCCCGCGGCGTCGTCCCACTTTGCCCGCCGCTCGCCGTGGGGCAGCAGCGCCTACCAGCGCCGCCGGCCGAGGCAGCACGTCCGGCCCGTGACGGCCTTCTCCCTCAGCACGAGCGAGGCGTCGACGCGCGAGAGCACGACGACGGGCTGGCGGCGCGACGGCGGCGGCTACAACGACGACGACGGGGCGGCGGCGGCGACGACGCGGCCCACGACGGACAAGCAGGTGTGCGCGGCGCTACTGCACCGGTGGGAGGCCGGGTGCCGGCGGTTCGAGTGGGCGGCGCGGCGGGCGGGAGCCGACGTGCGCGCCGACGCGGTCGCGGCGAGACGACTGGACGAAACGGGTGAGAGCCTCGAGCTATTCAAGAGCGAGATCGCGCGCTTCTGCCACCTGTACGTCGACGGCTTCCTCGACGAGGGCCCGGGCATCTTCGCCACCCCGTCTGAGTGGGCCGCCCGGGAGGAGAGGTGGTTGCGGTGCCGGGCCGCGCCCGGCGAGGACGTGTCGGCCGAGCTGGCGCGCCGCGCGAGCGCCGTCGACTGGGCCGCCCGAGAGTGGGCGCGCCCCGAGTGCGGCGAGGCGCGGCCTGGCGGCGGTGTCGGTGGCGGCCGCCGCGCCAGGTTCCTCAGCGTCGGGGAGTGGGTCAGGGAGCAGGACCGGGTCCTCGCCGCGGGGGAGCACGTCGAGGTCCAGGGCCGCCGGCGTCAGGAGCCGCGCCGTCGGCAGGTTGTGCGCGAAACCCGGAACGTGGAGGAAGCAGCCGCCGAAAGCGCCGAGGAGGAGGAGGAGGATCCGTACGGTTGCGACGACGACGACGAGATACCGCCGGCTGCGGTTGCTGGCGAGTCCAGCGCCTCGGCGGCGCGCAAGGACAAGCGGGACTGTTCGTCCGCCGATCACGACACGTCCACCAAGCCGACGGTAGGGACGACGTCGAACTCGGCGGGGCCCAGTACGCTTCCGACGTCGGCCGATGACGGTTTGCTCACAGGCTTGCCCAATACGAAGCCACCGGCGTCAGCATCAAGCAGGGATGGCGGGAAGCAGCCAACGCCTCCCGGACTTGCTACTGATAATTGCTCAGGAGGCCAAACGCACGCACAATCGAAGGATGTGCCGCTACCCGCAAGTGCCATGCCAGACACCAACGACAATACAAGCACTCACAACAACGAGATCCCACCACTGCCACACACCACACCCACAAACCCGCCAACATGCACCGCAGCCCCCCTCGCCCCCCGTCCTCCTTCCCCCGCCGTCAGCGAAGCATCCACCACCTCCTCCAACGCCGCCGTCGTCGCAGTCGCCAGCCCGGCGCAGATCCAAGCCGTCATCAGCAGCCTGGAACGCGCGCTGGCAGCCGTGGCCGCGACGACGGTGGCCCTCTCGCAAGACCACGGCACGCGGCAGCTGGCACGGGCGCGGCGGCGCAG